GCTTTGTGGCAGTCAGCTTTGGTAAGCAGAATCAATCAACAATTCGACGCTGTTGTGTCCGATGGTCTTTGTTACTGCATCATTCCGTGTGCTTCTTCCACAGTCCAACGCAAAGCTATAGCATCGCATGCCAATGTGAACAGGTCATGTATCGACTGCACAAACGGTACTAGACACACCTAGGTGACCTTACGTGTTCGAACGTGCAAAAGAGAACGGCAGTCAACCTTGGGGCATGCACTTCAAGTTCAACTAAAGGCGGTCTGGAGACAAATTGGAGTGGACAAAACAACAAAGGTCTTTGAATCTGCGCTTCACAGCAGTCAGTTTGTCAAGAAGGATTTAGTGAAAATCAACCTAATCCCATCCGAGGGTCCCTGTCAATTCATCACTGTTACAGTAGATTCCTCTCCAGCCGAGGAGTCCCAGAACAAAATAGCAGGATACCCGCACCAAACCAACAAAGTCGAGCAAAGCTGCACAAATCGGAAAATATATCCGTTCAACTCGACAGGATCCGATTCAACTCGTTGGCAAGCAGAATCAAAATACAATTCAACAGCAGCATGTCCGACTGTCTTCTTGACTGCATCATTCTGTAGCTTCCTTTATTCATTGAGAATCTTTGATTCGGAGCAGACCTGGGGACCATTCAAGACCCTCTTACCTCAATTCCCAGTCCTGACAATGTTTTTTGACATTTGGTTGTCCAGGCAATTTCTCATGTGCCTAGCTTTCCTTAGCATCTTCAAGGAGGGAAGGCAAATTCCCCCAAAGTTCAACCTCAACCTTCACCCATCAGAACTAAAGCCGCTACCTGGTTCCTGCCAAACCTGAGGCAACCTCCTGCACCAAGTGCCAAGAGGGAAAAATGTTCTACAGTAAAGGTCTTCCATACCACAGAGTGTCAGTGTTTCCTACACTGCTTTTGCACCACATGTTCAGAAGCTGCCCAGCATGTTCTCCCTTGTCGTCCAAAAGACATCGCTGGAAGCACAAGCCAGTCATAAAATACGTCAACGCAAAAAAATATGACCCTTACCTCAGATAAATCCCTTTGAAAACATCATTCTTTATGTGCATCAGGCACTTCGGCTTTGCGTCTGTATCATCATTGCGACAATAAGCCACGCTCGAATCCAAGGGCGATACCCTCAACAGTGGGCATGCCTGAACTTCATCTCAACTTGGTGCACACTCAGATAAATCCCTTTGAAAACATCAGTTTGTGCATCTTGCACTTCAGGCTTCTCGTGTATATCATCACTGAAAGCGCACGACACTAAAAAGCACGAGCAACATAGATGCACTTACATGCCTCAGGCAAATGCCTCGAATGTCATCAACGCTTCTGTGCATGCTGCACTTCAGGCTCGTCATCTGTATCATCACTG